GTGTGGGGTATGTGACGGATTTGGGTGTGGGGTATGTGACGGATTTGAGTGTGGGGTATGTGACAGATTTAAGTGCGGGGTATGTGACGGATTTGAGTGTGGGGTATGTGATGGATTCCCATTCACATTGAAACAGTACACGAAAATTCCTGGTTTGTTGAAACCATTTCCACAGTGGACCACTTCTGTAACGGTTTGACAGTGACTAGATGTATTATGATGTGTTGGGGTATTCTTAGATTGGAACCCAGGGCGATACCATGTTGAAGACCTGTTCATTAAAGGCGTCCCTTGGGAGGGCGCCGTGCCCTCCACGTGATACGCTTTGTTTTCCGAATTCAATATAGTTTGCAGGTCTCACTCTGAGGCCCAAGCGGCGACCTTTCAGATTTGAAAGTCTGTTGTGCCTCCACGATGGCTGGAAAGCGTAAAACGAGTGGAGGTGGAGACAAGGCGAAGGCGAAAGCCAAGACGTCCACAACTACCGCTGTTGTGAACATGCCATGGATTTCAGATATGACACAGTGGTGCCTTTGTTTTTGAGAATTGTTTACAACGATTGTGTTTTTTCTTGCGCAGTCAATTCAGGCGTCACTGTTCCTGTTGCCTGAGTTGAATGGATTTGTTGACGGCTTAAGGCTGAACGAAAAAGTCTTTCCAGAGGGGGGGCCTTCGCAGTACTTGGGAGGCAAGCACCCTAACCAGGACAGAGAACATTGCTGTTTAGTGGACATCATGTTTGAGAATGCAGCCCAGACGACGCCCCACGTGAGACAACGCACGAGGAGTCTTTGCTTGAATTTGCTCAATGGATCGATTCCTTTGCCCCTCCAGATCCGACGTCGGGCACCTGAGGTCGTTCAACTCAACCTTTGCTTGATCCCAATGTATCATGAGGTTGGTCTACGCCAGTGACATGAAGAAGCCAGCGGCCGTTCGACCGTGCATGCTCTCTTTTAGAGCCGACTTTGGACAGTCCGGATACATCGAGCCTGAAGTTGCCACGTAGCCTTTGGAACTCATAATGTCAGCAGGGTTTCTGAAATCTGAACTCCAGGCCAAATCCAACTCACGGGATGCGGATATATGATTTCATTTCACGCAGTACTCCATGGCCCAAATCCAATTCCAACGTCGTATATTCGACTTTGGAATTGGTTGCGTGGATTATAGCCTTCTGTTTGGGTATTCGACGTGGCATCATACTTTGCAAGAACCACATTTTGTGGTTGCACATGGTGGCACATAAGCGCGCAGAGTTTAATATCATTATTTTTTAAAGATCACTCTTCCTAATATGTTTCCACTGTATATGTACGTTGTGTTAAAACTTTAATTCTTACTAACCTTTTTTCTTTATGTAGGACGTTCTTTTGGATCATTATTACTAACATTGTTTTCTATACGTAAGATGTGTTTTATTTTTGAATAAAAACTGTATATGCACCATGTAGTTTTTTGGAATCACTCTTCCTAACATGTTTCTGTATGTGTTACTTTTTGTATTACTCTTCCTCATATGGTTTTAATGTATGTATTCTGCGATGTGTTTTTGTTTGTGATCACTCTTCCTGACTGTTTTTTCTATATGTATTGTTTGGATCGCTCTATATATGTTTTCGAAAAGGATATAGTACTTCCAACGGTTGTTTGTCATGCTCATGGAAGGGTCAAAAGCCTGGAATATATACCCAAACGCCACTGCAACCGTTGCGTTGCGGGTATATACTCAACATACTCAACAGCCGAAAATATATTTGTGTTCCGCTTTTTGTAGCTCTCACAATGTGTTTTTTTGCGTTTTTTGATTTATGGTTATCGCAAAACAATATGTTTATCTTAGTTTTCGTAGAGCTCGGTGTCATAGACCGGAAGGCGCTCATTGGCAGGGTAGC